GTGTGAGAGAGAGAGAGAGAGAGAGAGAGAGAGAGAGAGAGAGAGAGAGAGAGAGAGAGAGAGAGAGAGACCAGCCGCAAGTTGGCCGCTGAGATTAACGAGGACCGCATGAGTATGGGTACTACATAGTACGTCATCGTTGTGACCGCTTGCATTGCGAGTCGATATGAGTTAGCCCTGCGTCCGCGCGGTTTTATACTAAATTTCGCGCACGACACCTACCCGACTTCCGTATCGAAGAGTTATGGGATGACTACTCAGGGACTAGGAGTGTTGTTGCATTGTTTATTATGTGTCGTTCTGTATATGTACGTATGTGTGTGTGCTTTTATTTTTATGTTCTTTAGAGTGGAGTACGCGTGGTGTGTGGGATGCGTCCCAGTCGACCGGCGACGAGTCGCGCTTGGGGCCTCAACCCCCCAAGATGCCGGTTCGCGTGCGGGTCCGATAGAGGCGTATTATCGTGCGTACCCCCTATGCTACAGCGAACGAGAAACACCCTCGGCTGGTTCACCTATGTAATTGCAGCTGATTAACTTTTGTACTGTGGACTGGTAGCTCGGCGGGGATACGTCCACCGAAGGGAGGTGACAACTCTCGTAAGGTGGAGATAAGTCGTGCCTCGCATAGGCCCTATCATGTCGTAGGGGCTCGCGAGAGGTATAGCTGACTCACTCGGCCGGAGCGGCTTGCGGAAGCTTCATATATAATTGTGATGAGGATTAAGACCAACTCCTGCGTGACGCGGCCAGGAGGGTCCCGCGCTGCCTTGTGTTGTGCAGGACCGATACGCTCGACAGGTGGCGTCGTTGTCGGGGATAACGGTTGCCTGCCGTTGTCCCTGGTGGAACGACATCCGGGTATGGGATTGTGAGAACTAGGCAAAATGGGAAGTCTTCTTTAGACGTATATGGTTGATTGCTTGATGTTTTGACCATTGTTGGAGATGTCTGAAGGTTGTGGCCTAAGTGTGAAGTGTTGGTTATAAGCGCATGCGCGGTTGGGCTATACGTTTACGTACGCTGACCCATGTAATAGTTGTTTCAGAGGGCACCTTGTCGGCCTAAGTATTTTTAAGTGATTGGGCGATACGTGGCATGTCTGATGCGGCCTAGGTTGATTTGAGGCGGCGTCAGCATTGTTGGGTGTGTCCGTTGTTGAAGCAAACTTTCTTAATAACTGCCAAAGTTGCAAGGCTAGTTGACTCGTTACGTGTGTTGCGCTAAGCTTGCTTTTGGAGGTAAAGACGTTAAACTGAGGCGTCTTCCCCTGGTCAATAGAGCCTCGTCTCAGAGGAGGCTTTTGGTACGTGAGCGACATGAATGAGGGGATGACTGATGAGTGTGAAGTGAGGGGTTCAATTGTAAAGGTCTTTCCCTGAGCTCGGATTGAGGTTAACATGATAGGTACTGCAATGAGTACTATGCCTAGAACCTCTGATGGTATCAGTTGGCCATAAGTTGAGTCATCTAGGGGATTGTCTAGATGTGACTACCGGTAAAGTTTGAAAAGTAGTGGTTTCTTAGCTAGCGGTTTGACTAACCCGAAGAGAGGCTTATGTTTGAAGTATGTGTAAGATATATGTATATATTTATTTTTATGACGGTTTTATCTGGTTGTTGCCATATATGCATTTTTCTATATTTTGTTTGATGTTTGATTGACAACGTATGTATAGATTGTCTTTCAAAGAGAACAAAGACTTTGCATGAAACCCACATCTGGCATGAGACCAGAGGTGAATAGGGTGACTCATTTCATGGGGAAGGTGATTCTTCCTCAAGGGAGTAAGTCAGCGTGTATAGTTGTCCTGAGTGAAAATGCATTTTTGAATTCGTACTCCCTCGCTGAGGCTTAAGGAGACAGTTACCAGTCTCAAGAATGATAGTGAGACCCACGTCGGAATTATGTTCCTGATCCATTAGTGGGGTGTTGTTACCTTCCTATGATAGGAGAGTAAGTACATTATCTATTGAGAGAGGAGGAAGGGGCTTGTTTCCTTGTTGAAGCTTTGATGCCCAAGTGAAACAGCTAGTGCTTTGTGAGAGCGGTTCTGGAGTAGCAGCAACCAAGGGAGTTAGACAAAATTTGACTTTGGAAAGTTGAAATTATTTATGTTTTCATATTTAGGCTGATATAAATTCTGGAAAGGCACTTTTTCTACGGAAGTGTTGTCGAAAATTTCTTAGTTTAGAGGAGATAGATTATATTTTGATAGGTGGGGACTCTGGCGATCCACTCTGTATGGGGGAGATTATGCCATAGGTCTACCTTTCTTTGGGCATTGGCTTAGAGGTAGACCTTGGTTTGTCTTGAATGAGAAAATGTGTCATGGGGATTTGGTTTTCATACATTGACGATTTAGCTCGGACATCGACCTGTCGTATGATACAGGTCTTCTTTGGACATTCGATCCAAGATTTGGACTAGCTTCCGCTTGATCCTACGAAGATTATTTTCTGTTATCCCTGATAATAGGTCGATTGGTTAATCGCTGACTCGTCGGCTCACGACACAACTTTGCTTACACATGTACCTCTACTTGATTGCCTTAGCCCTGAGATTTGATATGTTTCTACTAGGGTCTTAACCGGACTTCTTTTAATGGTTATTATAAAGAACTTATGAGATTTACAGAAAGTGGCATGGTGTGAGTTACAGGGAAGAGTAAAGTTGATCACATTGGTGTATGACAATGTGATCACATTATAAAGAACTTAGAGAGAGAGAGAGAGAGAGAGAGAGAGAGAGAGAGAGAGAGAGAGAGAGAGAGAGAGAGAGAG